TCGTTCCGCGGCCTGCCGTTAGAAGCAATGCTAATCGGCAAAACCGGACCTGAACATCGCAACACCTTAGGTAAATATAGATTACAGATAAGTATACACGAAGCGTTGTGAACTTCTCGCCGAAGTTTACAACTAGTTCTATGCCGCACATGCACATGCATATGCAGCACGTCACGTACGGAGGTACCTTTGTTTGAGCGCAACCTATCTCAACTTCATGAAAAGTCACCCATCATTTCTTAAACTTCGTGGAGCTAACACTTCACTTATCATTTACATTTTAATGTGGGCAGGAAAAATGTGTGGCTATTTTATGAACGCTTAATTAATTCTGGATGACATACATTGTTCTTAGAAATAATTGCTGTCGGTCTATGAAGCAGATCTTATAGCGGAAACCTACGCATCGACCTACGTAACCGCGTTCGCAACCGTTACGCACCATAGAGTGGAGCAGGTATTTTGATATCAAACTAGTATATCGTTATTTTACTGATATTAATCACCTGTATTATCTGAATAAGCCATCAGCTGGAATATTTTCCTTAGACTATGTATGTATTCTTTCATTATCAAGTGCGAACCCACGATCGCTAAATTAGTGATTCTATGAAACACACTGCGTACGTATTTATAGTTCATTGTTCTGCGTTGGACTACTACCATAATTTATTAGGATTTGTAATAACATAAAGCCTGGTGGCACGGTCAAACTCGTGCAGGCAATCAGGTGTAATACAGTGTGTTCTACGGAAACTTTCTCCCATGTAGTCTCCATAATGTTGGAGGTGGAAGATCAAACAACGAGAGGTACATTGTGGGCACAGATTCTTTGTCCTAAAAGTACGTCCTGCACTGAACAACGCCTGTCAGTGTTCAACCGCCCCAAACACCTAAGAACTCTGTTCATTGGACCCGTATAAATAATTTCAGACGTCCCATTCAAAAATCCGCTTCCCTTTTCACCTAGTTCACTATGTTGAACCAGGCCACCCACACGCCTAAGGTTAAGAAAAGCGTTCCGTTTGAAGAAGTTAAGGCCAAGTAAATGTAAATACACTCATTAATAGGCATGTTAATTAGCAAAGATGAACTTGAAGAACGACATGTGCAGCTGTATGCGAACCAATAGAAACCAACAGATTAAAATCTGAACGCATACCTCGTGAATTCAGGTTGTACAGGGACAGATCATTTAAGCAGTAATCAATACATACAAATGAATGTATCTACCATACCTGAAATACGAAATTATGACGAGGACTCAAAAAATGAACCGTGCTTATTCTATCTAGCAAGAAATGGAAATGGAATACTTGAAGATAATCTGAATATGGATTACCTAAATATGGTAAAATCTGAGTGGATACCTCGTGCATTCAGGTTATAGAGGACAGAGCTACTGAAGCCGTGGCCTAGCTTGAGATATCCCAGTAAATAATACCATATCAGAATCGGCAACATAAAAAAATGTTGCTATTTTACAGCTTAAACTCATCTTTTCGTTCCTTCGTGCTGTATGAGAGTATATTTCTAAATGGAGGATGTATGTACAGAGAAAGACGATTGGATGAAGTGCATCCGTAGTTAAATCTCCCATGATTATTTCTATATAGATGCAACCCTGTAATTAACTAATCGATTGATAGTGATGATAAATAGTATACTAAGAAGTAAAATGCGACGTTACAATTCCTTTGCTGTTGATACCCGCGGAATTGCAACACTAGTCGCAATTATCTTGAAAATGGTTTGTCCGCGCTAGTTAATGTACCAGGATATGTCTGTAATGGCAAAATTTATACACAGAGCGGTTTTTCAGTCGGGATAACAATTAAGTGCAATAGCGAAATAAATTTTTGGATTTTTTGAAACCTGGAAGCCAAGAGCAACAATAATACATATAACTTTGCGGTCGAGCTGAGCGTCAGTTAGTACTCTACTTTGAATGTTATCCTTGTCCTTTAGCTAATGACAACAAAGTATCAATATTGTCGTTTCATCTATGAATGTAGCCAGAATTAATTGATGGAATGCGCTTCCCACTTTTAATCGTAGACAGCTATCAAAAGTGGTTAGTGTTACGTGATTTTGACATGTGTCGATATTGGAGTAAAGATGAGTAGTACCGACACTTTTTGAGGCGATTGTCTGTAAAGGTGTTGCATAAAATTAAAAGATTTTGGTGAATTTTAAGCGAGTATCTGCGAAGTTCCAATGGAGCAGCAGTTCAGATAGAGAAAAAAAAACAGCCAAAGACAAATGTGTGTATATCGGCACCTTACGAAAGTAGAATTTTCCGACGATTCACACGTAGGCTGTTTTACCTGCAGAACTCTGATCGTTATCATTTGTTCGCCTTTTAGTCAAGCTCAAAGGACCACATATTACATTGTAATAGATATTTAATAAAGAGGATTTAGTTGAAAGGCAATGCCTGTATGTATGTATGTATCTTAACAGTACAGGTTAATTTAAGAGATATCAAAATACAGGATACAGTTACGTAAAGATATCAGGTTCTCGAATGTCCATTCTGTAATCTAATTTTGCAATTTTTTCTTGCCTCCCTTTTGCCTCGTTTCGGTATTATGTTCCTGGCGCATTCTGTACCGGTTACTTGTTATTCCTTTCTGAATATTTGGACCACAACTGCGATTCTAATGGATCGGAATATGACATAGCCATCGGAATCTCGCAACCGGCGTTTAGTTTTTGTTCCTGGCCAGCGTTTACCACAGAGGTCAATTTTTTCCGAATGCCGAGTCTAGTCTGACTGTCCAAAGTGGCCGAGGCAACTTAATCATAGAAGCCATTTTAAGGACAATGACAAACTTTCGTTCTCCATGTAACCCGCCGATTCCGGAAACGTCTGGTCAGCCTTTACTTCAGGCGTTACTGCCATAGTATCCAGATTCAGATAGCGATCTGCGCCAGTGTCACACTTTATAATCATCTTATACTTACCACATCTAGAGCCATTTCAAAGACGGGTACTAACTTCTACCGATGCGAATAGTATCAAGGATTACACGAATGCACAACAGGGGAATAAAACGCCGAACGGCGGCAGATGCTTCGTAGAGCAACATACGCCCTTCTGACCCGGTCCGCGAAATCCGAACAGCACACCTCAGTTACCTCTTCGTAAGCTCACTATCAAGGGAAAGCGTGAACGGAAAGCAAAAAACAGCTAAAAAAAAATACTGATTATGATCGAAGCAGACGTAATCAGATTATATCGATTTGGCGCAGTTTGTGTTGCGACATAGGGGCGATCTAGTGACGTTATCCTGTTAGCTGGAGCTACAGCGTTGAAAACCATACACGACAGGTTAGTAGGGTAGGGTCTCCAGAATGTTCGGCTGTATCTAAAATCAATCGGGAGTCAGAATAGGCCTAACATTTGGAGATTCAATTTGTCTATGCCTGCATACGTATATCTGACTCAAGTGCCTGCATTTGTCCTGGGTATACACGATTCTATGAGTGCAGTTCTTCCGAAATCACCCATTGAGTAATGCAATTCAATATATGACTTCTACGGTAATGGAACAATGTGTTTGCAGTAATAATTTTTTATGTAATAGATATTGAATTAATATTGCAAGTGATTTTAATATTCGTAGCCGAATAATTAGAGTCCAATACACTCGTTCAACACCTATTTTCAATGCGAAAAGAGGGAAGCTCCCTTAGTTCTAACAAACATGACTGACTTCTGTTAATGCATTGGGAGAGTGATGAAATTTTAATCGGTCGAACAATTTGGATTGTCAGAAATCGAGGAATTTCCCGGCAGTTGATCTGCGGGTGCTGGCATCAACTAAGGACAGAAAACACGAGCTGATTGCAAGATTACAATCTAGAAACCTGCTGAGAGATAAATGCCATAGTGGCATCGTCAGCTATGAAACCTTAAACAAGAGAGGGACAACTCAGATTGCGAATCAGGAAAATCAAGGTTTAGTTTGATCGTAACAAGTATAGAAACTGCGGGTAAAAAGAATGCATCTATGCTTGAGGGTTATCATGAGAATAAAATAGAAACAAATCTGGGGTAAAATGGTTTTAACAGCAGAAAAGAAGCGGGGATCCTTCACGGGAAAACGTTCGAAGAAGTGTTGATCGTTTTCTTGATAGGTTATCGTGTTAGAGTGCGTTAACTCCTCGAAATCTTGTGTGCCCATGGACACTATTGTAAAAACTTCGTTAGTTAGCCGATACGAACACCTTTAAAAGGAATAAAATTAGAAAACTGTACTTTATAGCTGATGACATTATACAAAAGAAATCCATTGAAAACTTATATTGATTCTCGTTAAGTAGCGAGCACCGAAAACTTTCGCTTAAAGCACCTGCATAACGACAACTTTACCTACTCTGTAGCCTAATCTATCCGCCTTTACCATCGGAAAAGTGATTCTGTGTCAAATCTTAGTGCAACCTTAGTATCCATAATAGAATCCAATGTATAGCTATTCGAAACGCGCATGATCTACGACATTAAGTACACTCCATAATATATATATATATATATATATATATATATATATACATATATATATATGTATATATGCATGCTCGCGAAAAATGCAAGCAATTCTGTAATGTAGCAAATGATGCGCAAGTTTTGTTTATCACACAGACGCTGAAAATAAAAAAAAACGTTTCAAACGTGCACTAGCAGCGTATAAATTTAAGAAAAAGACCCTCATCGTTTTTTGACAATTTCTATCTTTTAGTTGTAATAGCATGCGCAATGCAGCCTTCAAGATTTTTTGCGCAACCAGACAGTTATTTTACAACGCAAACACAACACTGCACAGTATCTTTACTCTAATGAATCAATTTTATCGTGCAAGTTTACCGATAATTATAGATTTATACCGGACAGGACGCTCTGAGCAACGGATCGTCAGATCAATGTGCCTATTCATATGAGCATTGAATTTAAAACGCGTATCTTTTTGCCATCTTGTCGCGATTAGCTATAGAGATATTAGAATCAAGGCGAAGTGTTGACATTTTTATTTAGAAAAAGAATATTTATTTTTTTAAATTTAATTACAAAACACAATATATAATAGTGTGGCACATGCTCCGTTGTGTTTGCATCCTTGACGCTACACTATTCATGAGGATCGTTTAAGCATAAAACTCCCATCCATTTCTATACTACACCTATAGCAACTAGCCGCGCATCAAAGCCGAAGGAAGTTCTCCTCGACGAACCGATACTGCTTTATTAATAAATAGTATGTGACGGCGTACGTGAAGCTAGGTGGACCTTATGTAAATACATGTAACCGATATGCATCGATTTGAAAATTAAAAACGAAGTATTATAGATATATTGTCTTTATGCTATTACTATTAAAAATAAACAACGTAGGTAAAGCTGACTAACTCATAAAAACGGTTTACTATCACTTCTTTTTCCCTGTGTATGAAACGACTGACTACTTAGAAAATGTACTCTAAATGCTCTGCTACGTCGTATTGTACTTATGCCGAAATATGGGATGATATTTCAAGATTAATCTTTTAGTGTCAATCGATCCCATTGTCATCAGATTCATCAGAACCATCACGATGGTTCGGCGTCCTCAAAGGCGTGCAGCTTCTCGTCTAGATGCCAACAAAATTAGGAATGCATACAAATAACTCGCGCAGACTACAAGGGTCAAAGGACGCTGATTTCCACTAATAAGTCATCTCTTTGGACAACGTTGGAGCAACGCGGCAATATCAAAATGCGAATAAATTCAAAGCATCTGTTTATTATTTACCTGTAACTCTGTTTCCCTCAGTTGCTGTTGTTCTCTAGTGACTCGAGGTAACACTCAGACCTGTTCTATTTGTAACAGCACGCGACCCTAGTGCCGTACCTGTCTCGCTTTGAAGCATATTTTGCGTACACTTGTTCACGCAACATAATTTGCACAGAAATACACGTTTGTACATTTGATGATATATCAGGAAACTGTGTGCAAAGTTGATTGAATTTAGCGGTTCCCTTTTCCTGGTAGATAAAATATAAAGCACCCATGCCTTCACTAGGTAAGTACAATCAATGGCATACTCGATCTGGCATCTAGTTAGATCATTTCCTACATAATTAAAAATCGTTTTGCAAATATTATCAGTAACGTGTGCCTTTTGGACAATATCAATATTCCAAACCGAAGATGAAAGAAAGCGTGTCGCGAAAAATGTCACACGTAAGACACAATACGCAAAATGTCGTATGTAAGGCCCACATGTTTCGCACTTATAAATAAATCTGCAAAAGTCCATTATATTTTAATAGCACAGCTGTTATCTTTCTAACTTCAAAAGTAATCATTCTCCTATAGATACCTAATAAATACCTTGGAGAATATTTATTACCATTTAAGCAAGCTCTTACAAAGACAATCTTGACACAATCACCAAGTATTTGCTGTTCGACGAACATGGTCGGCGCGACCACAGACCAGCTGATTAAAACGAGAAAGCGCTTTTAAATAACATGCCTAGCCAGCTATAGGCTGGACGTTTTAAATTTGCTTGTTTTTATTTTCAAATAAATTTGACCTAATTAATAGACTTATTTTCGATGGTATTTACTGTTTTTACTAGATTGAAAAAATACATTCTTCGTGAACAACTATTTGCAGGCACAATCTGTACAAAAATTAACACAAGGACTTTTCACTTGTGGTGCCGAGCGTTTTTGCTCTTTAGGGGGTTCCGGTTTGTAATTTGGTGTCCAAGGTCCAAGACTGTTGCGGGAATAAAAATCCATCGGATAATTTTTCTGCCACTCAACCTAGAACACCGAAAATGTTGTTTAATGATTTTTCTAGACGTATTTATTACTGAACTAGAGATATTAAATATGACGGGTACAAACATTCGATCTGCCCCGTTGTGGATAAGGAATGACTTTTACTAACACAAGACATTTAGAGATAAACATTTTCTGTGTGCATTTGACGGTACGTATTTGTTAGATCTGTATTGAGATGACTTTGCAGGGGCGTAAATAATCTATACACATCTGGGCTACAACTAGTAGAAAAATATGAACTTTAATAAACACACCTTCTGCAGAACGACATTGAGTTCGTAGGGCGTTAATAATGGCGTCTTAAAGGCGAGGCCCCAGTCAATGGAAAGTCTAGGACATGATGTCTGCACCCAGGCGCCAACGTCGCTAAACAGTTCCAATTTTTGTGGAAATATTTCGCTTAACAACAAACGGATCAGGATCTTTCCTTTTGCTCGGATCGTCGTCTCCAACTCATCAAACACCTAAAGAAATAATAAAAGATATAAAGTGGTGAAAAGCACTTTGCATAGTGAGTCAGTGCCATGAAAGCGTTACTGACTACACTTTCTAAAAGAAAATCGGATAAGTGAGTGCCGTCTTTTTAAGCATCTTAATCATTCCAAGAGCCACCAGATATCAGAAGGCAGCCTTTTGGGAACATCAAATTTGTTCTTAAATAAACAACAGTTAAATGTTTGACTTAAAATTGTAAGGAAACTCAAAGGTCGGTAAATACGTAAGATTAAAATAACTAACCTTTACAGATCCCTGTCTTCCAAGCGTACCAAGGATTATACCAAACGTCCCTGCATCAACCGCTTTTTGAACAGCATCCTTGCGAACAGATAACATTTGTTCATAGTTATAAAGTTCCTCTGTAAGCTGTTTGTCGTATGGATCATATTTGTACGCCTTTAGGCGGTGGTTCGCGATCATCGCCGCCTCCAGATGGAAACGACCGTCGCCAACGTACAAAATTGCGTCCGAATCATCGCTGAATCTAATTACCGAAAAGCATACGATTCGTATTACTAGTTTTTGTAAGCACAATGGGCCGACATTAAATACGCCGTATTCTACATAGTTGCCTCAATAATTTAAAAGAAACATCAATATTATATATTATTAGTATATATATAGTGTATATATATACTTTAATATTAGCAAAGAAACAACCTTCGAAGCTGTAGATTTGTTCATAATCCGTGTATCTACATCTACCTTGGAGACGTACATCCTAGGGTTTCGCCTGGAGACAGTGGTTTTGTTTGAGGACAAAACAAATGGAAGCCTTCATTCTTAAGCTGCTCAACTAAAGCTTGAACTGATGCGACAAACTGAATAGTTGAAACCACACCAATTCGCATATCAGGACTGAAAGTAAGAAAATGGAGAACGAATATTTTTACCACTTTTTTATTATTGATATTATGCATCGAGAAAGAATAGCCAATAATAAGAAGAAATATACCCTTATAGTAGCAAAGATGTTTAACATCAACACGAATTTCCCCATCAAGTTTATTATTATTACCTGAAATTAGCCTTGACGGTTTCCTTCAAGTGATGTATGTCGATCTTGATATCAACGAAGACATAAAGAACTTTCAAAGAGTCGTTTCGCTCTATAGGAATCAGGCACGAATGGCCATAGTGAACCTTCAACACCCCAAACATGAAACGACCTTAGGCAGGCTTGCATGTTGCATTCATGTCGTAACGGTTAGTTTAAAAAATCTAAAAATATCAATTTTATTATCCATTTGCGGATCAATTGCGGCTAATCTACTTTATAATAAATTATTACATTAATAGTTTCAATCTATCATAATGCAGTGTTAGAAATTGAACTTACGAAATAAAATAGGAAAAAATACACATTCTTATTTGTTAACTGCACTTAACCACTATTACCAACAGTAACAGGATGGTCAACAACAGAGCAGACATCTAGGAATATGTAAAAAGAACTAGGGCGTACCGGTACCTAAGGTAAGATCTAAATACCTATTTTCTTACAAGAAGGTCTACACAGAGAGCTTTTGCTCCGAGGTCATCAATACAACACGCCCCGTAGGTGACATCACCAAACACAATTGTTTGACATTCACTAAACTCTTCTAATATGTCGGCAATTGTGAGAGCGAATAGCAGCAGCCCTTCGGGCATCTGCAAAGCGACCTGCACAGAGCGCGCGCCCCCAAGCCCTGCGTGCAGCTGTCGAATTCTGCAATGCAACCAGAGTTCATAACGGCAATACTATTAATAAAATCTACTATTATCAATGCTGGGGTAGAAAAATCGTATTTAAATTACATAATTTACCTTATGTAACTTAAATACAGTGTGTACTACCATGTATCTTTAATTACATAATTAAAAAAATTAAGCTATTTTTTCTAAATAAATAAAGAGAAACATTCTGTATTGAATAATACGATAGGTGAAAACACAACATTTAGTTATGCATTATCTAAGTAAGTCGTAGATAAATTAGAGTGTCTACGTGGCCGATAGAGACCTGTGTACTGTCTTATGTATTTCAAAGTTGTAGTTCTTCGGTAAAACAGAGATTGCCGCTTGAAGTTTAGGACACAGTAATATCTCATCAGGGATGTGGTTAGCGCCTATCGGACGATGCGCAATGATTTTCGGAGTCCCTTTGGACACTACACGTGGCTGAGTGACGGGCACAAGTACTCCCTGATTCGGCGTTTCGAACGCTGACGAAGATATTACTGCCGCCATGCTCGTCGCACTCTATTCGTGGTTCATCTACTTGGGAAACAGAATAATACCCAATTATAAACGCTAAAATAGACTTTGATTATTAAGTTAACTAAAGCTGACAAGAATACCCTGTATTAACAACCTTATCCCTAGAAAAACCCTTTGCCGTATTAAAAAAACATCAGAAGACTAGTCTGAATTACAGACCAATAGACAATTCTGCTTGATATGTATGTTCGATATTGAATACTAATGTGGTTGCAGTTCGTGACATAAGGCGCCACATTATTATTAATTATTGTTATTATTATTGGCGAAACATTATTGTTATTGCTTAATCACTGAAGGTTTGAAATAAAATTTTCGCTGCTACAAACCTATAATTTCAATCGGATCAACTCGCCCATTATGATGAACTACTTATAGGAGTGTTTTTAGAATCAATGTTATTAGGATAAACTATTTGGAGGGATGTTGGTTTGTATTTCATTATCTCAAGAGACAATAAATAATTTATTGTTCCAACCTTACTCGGTTCACAGATGAATTTATCAGGAGGTTCAGTGCTTTATGTGAACTCACGCTAAACAATGGGTCGTTTCATAATTTCTGTTTGACCTTGTTAGAAAACGAACTGAGACTACAGAATGTGATCAATGTTCTAATCAACTCATTAGTCATGAACCAAACTGTTCAAACAACGTCTAGCATCAAACAAACTGATTTTATCCAAACATTTGTTCCTCTGATCATTGCATCTCTATGGTTACGCGTTTACGTAAAAATTAATCACAATAGTTTCACACACGCTTATGTCCTAGTCGCCTGAAACACTTTGCCATCTAAGAAAGAGTTCTGCCATAAGAAACAACCACAAAAAATTTGATGATAGAAAAACCTATCGCACCATAAACAGAAAGCACATGGGTTTAACATCTGACCGATGGTTTATTTTCATGAGGATACGCATGTACACTTGACTAGTTCTAGGAATCAAGCGCACCCATTTCACTTGGCGCAAGCTTGATAGGGCTGCCACGCTATTATACATAGTTCACTTAGGGTAATCTCTGTTTGAATATAATTCCCTTTTTTCGCAAAAGAAATGCCGTTTTTTTATACAAATAACTACTTTAAACAACTTTTTGAAAAAGATAATTTCTCCTGGTTGAACAGATGAGTTGAACCACTAAAAGCTATTGAAAGAGCCAGTTTCTGTAGTTTCATCAGCTTATTCTTTCATTACTAGCAGATTCAGATTAGCGACCTTATCCTAGTTCATGTTCTAACTCTATGGAATTTTAGTTCTGTTCACGCTTACTCTAATAAAAGTTGTACTAAATATTAGAAGGACATTAGATAATCCATTGACTAAGTCATCAGCTTATTTATATTAATATATAACCTATATCTGCATTATGTACACGAGAAGGCAAGGAAAACTAAAAGTAACAAAAACTATTAACACCATTTCCTTACACGATAATAGCGAATTTCAATAAGAAGCTATTATTTTGCTAATAACAATGCCTAATATTAAAAAACAAATCTACAGTATTATGGTGGGTGTTTTGTGGGTGAAAATAATCTTCCGCCACATTCGAGCCTATATGTCGGATAAGTGTTCCTAGGTTTTTAGGAATGTTTTTTCAGAAGACACAAATGTAATATAAACATGTTGCTTAGCCTATTTTGGCCTGGAGTTCCTCAGAGTTTACGGTTCTGGAGTCTTTTTGGACTTCACTACTACAGAACCTGTGAGTAGTCCTCGTAGCTACGCACTCACAGATGTGATTTACATTTTTTGGATACCGACGTATTCCAATCATCTATAGATTAACAAGGCCATGCCTCGTTGAAGTATTGCTTTGATGTTCAACTTAAACATTTTTAAAACACAACTGCTCCTTCAAAATATTTCCGACCTTACGTAACTCCATCACGTCGTTTACTTATTATCTGGTATTATTCAGCCCTACCCATTTCATCGTAAACAGTATTACACAGATTATCATATCTAAACAAAAAGTATTTCTGGTTTCGTATTCAGCACTGCCTTAGTTGAGCTTTAGAAGGTAGGCCGCTTATTGCACAAAGCGAAATTTCTCTACGTGTTATTTCGAAGCTAGTCCACTTTAGTATGTATTCCTAAGCTTAATGTAGAATTGAACGTCTGCAATGCAGCTCAAAAATTGAGGGTTTCCCCGCGCTCTTCGAGCCTCTCTCGTCTGCTCTACCCTCACACGCCCTCTCTTATTGTTCGAGAGTGAATAACTGAGAACGAAAAACTTTAAAACCATTCGGTACTGTCCAGCGCGGCTGGAGAAACTGCAGCCAACAACGGTTGCAACACTGGGTGATTCAAAACCCTCCTCTACCAATCAGCGCATCCATTCGGCACCCCCTCCCGAAAAGGAACAAGACTCGCTCGCCGCGTTCTCTCCGCTGTTCGTTGTTATGATGGGCCAACACCATCCGACTCCCTCGGGGGGTTCGCTTGTCGGTAATACAACATAACAGTCAATCATATGTGCTCCGTGCAGCTGTATACCTTGTGTCGCGAGTCGCAGGGTGATGATTTGGGAACCCCCGGAGCCGAATTCTGTAAGGCAAACATAGCATTACAGAGTTTGATTGTGTTGTGAGAAGTAAACGGTTTGATGCATCTAATATGCAGCGGAACAATTTTCGGTGCTCAATGATATTCTGTGCGTCATTTACGAATGGGTGTAGGGAGCGGGCTTAGACGAGAAAGTGTTGAGACACAGAAAACGGTGAAAAAGAAGGAAAGCATAAGCGAGTCTAGTCCTTCTCAGTATGTAAACCTTTGATTCTATCAGACAATACAGAATTAGAAAGAATCGGCGTATGATGGGTTTTCGCGCTTTCGTGACGGATTTTTATTTAATAGTGAATTGAATTGTCAATGAGAGGCATACACCATCTGTGTACACGCGTTGATGCGCGCTCCAGCTATATCAAGTAAACGAGGCTTTCTGTGAAACTATTTGGATATATAACGGAGAGAATTGTAGGTCGTGCTTATTGTTTCTAGTTTGTCCTAAAAATGTAGGTTGTCCGATGGCAATCGAATCCTGTATGCGTATTGCTTATTTTTATATGACTTTGTTAGCGACATTTTTTATAAATCAAAACAACCCCCCTTACGCTCATTCACAAACACGAGAGAATTTGTAAGTACTCTACTAATCACAAACCCAATATATCGTATTTATATACTCATATTCCAGCGAAGTTGGTACATTGCTGGGCGTCAAAACGTGAAGATTTTTTTGTAGATAAACTCACGACGTCTAACGCCTCACGATGTCGGAGGGACTTTCATGGCTATTTGAGGCATGGGGCTCAGCCCAGCACTCGTACCTGGCTTGTCCCCCAACACCACAGGCGCCAACGGCTCATAATCAACAGCTGACTGTACAGTCTCATACTGCCCAGACGCAAATCCCGCCCCAAGCACCACCAATTGCCCACGCTGCCCAAGCGTCGATCGCGCACACTTCGAATGTCCATGCGGGTTTGCCCCCAGTGCCAGCACCTCTTCATGCTGCCCCTCCGAATCCGTTGCCCGCACCAACGTCGCATATTAATACGGGTGCCCCACCGGCTTTCTTCTATCGCGCACAACGATTCGGCGCGAAGGGCCAACCACTCAGTGGCGTAAACTGGTGGTGCGATGCATTCGGTCCTTACCAATTGGAAGGTGATTTATTCATTCGTTCGTGTCAATCTTTGGTTTTTAGAAAAGCTTTAGTAAAAGTACTCCTGTTTCACCTCAAATTTCCTCTTAAATATCCATCAATAACAAGTCTTATATGACGAATAAATTAATAAACAGTTAAAAATTTAACATCAACTTGAGTAATACATAAAAACCTAATAATAATAGAACCAATTATAGTTCGAGGTCAAGTAAAATCTTCTGATTCTAATAAAATTATGTTAAATAATCGATAAATACCGAAATCCCCTAATTTCAATAAAATAGCACCTAGATGTATTGAGCCAGTAACTTCTACATTAACTTTTTCACTATCAGTGTTAACAAGTATTTCGCTTCAGGCTATACTTTTATTTATGGTTAGTAATGCATGACTTTTAAAAACTGAAGTCAATATTAAAATTAAAAAAGTATTAGAGGTAACAGTTGAATGTACTTTGCAAGCTTATTGCAGAAATGTTGCCAGCTTAAATAATTTTGCCTAATTTATTATATATATTTATATTATTTTATATTATTATTATTATTATTATTATTATTATTATTATTATTATTATTATTATTATTATTATTATTATTATTATTATTATTATTATTATTATTATTATTATTATTATTATTATTATTATTATTATTATTATTATTATTATTATTATTATATCATATATATTTATAAAAAATGTTAATTTAGCTTTCTTTTTCCGTAATTTAAGCTAACACGAATGGTACTGATCGATGCTTGAATTGTCTAGGCCAAAACGGGTGGCGTGGTGTCGGACCTTTCTTGATGCGTCCAGATCTCGCTAGCAAACCTAACGTACTCTGCTGTAGCAAAAGTCGCCGGAAAATCAACCCGTGTACAGCCAGAGTCAATCTCAAGCCTGATGGAACAATTCTCCGAAGGTTCGTACACAGTTGTCATTGTGTATCTGATATACATAATCATATCAATTGATTGCATGCCTATTTGCTATCTTACGTTCATGTGCACAATAAATTGATATAATTATCATAGCTATTTACAGGATGATATGAATAGAGAGAAAAATAACCTTTTATTATAATTTCTATATATAATGTATATGATACTAATAATGCATTTATCGGGTATCTAATAGTGAATAATTATGACGAACTGATTAACGTCATGTGAAACTTTAGGCGTTATTTCCACAATCACCCTCCGGAACCCCAGATGCCCCAGCCACAAGAGGGTGAGCTTCAGTTGCCACCTGTGCCAACGTTTGAAGAGGTAAATACAGTATAAAAGTATGTTTTCATTGAATGTATATGCGCGTATAAGACCAAAGGAATCACTATTATTACCGATAGTTATTATAGTTAGTATTGGTTTTGTATGCAGACACTTAAGGCATGATCTGTTTGCCTTTTTGTTCGTTTTCTTTCACGACTTTTCCATTTTATCTCGAATTTCGTGTTCTGATACTATTGCTGCTCTTCTTTTTGTAATTTTCTACATTTTTGCGTGTTTTGTGCGCCCGATCCATCAAGTGTCATTCGTTCATTGTAGGTAGCTGCCATTGTTGCGACGACAAGGACATTGAAGGTCAACAAACCCGAACCGGAACAACCACAAACGATTCGAGTGTGGAATGAAGATAAAACTGAAATGGTTGAGTGCGTACAGCCTCGCTTCTAATAGTCATTACATTGCTTTGATTTTTGACATGGCTTGACTGATTATTTTTACGTATTTGTTAAAGCTTTGTATTCTTATTTTACGACGGAACTCTTCTTTTCGGAACTCGTGTGTATCCATTGTTATCAACCGCTTTTGCATTAGCTTTTTCGATTGCACTATAAGAACCATAAGTACTGTTATTGCCATTGTGGGTGATTGTTGTTGTTGTTTTTCTTGTTTTCGGTGGACTTCTTTTTAATCTTGTGAATCCAAGCCGGTTAATCGGAATTTTTCGAATCTGGAAATTTCATATTATCTTTTTCGAATCACACTACGTCGGATAACGCTGACCAAATAATTCTATGGGCAGCAATGAAACAGCTTGACGAATGCTAACATGAATGACAATCTTTATTAATGAGATGAACCCTATATATCAATCTACACAACAGCATAGTAGGAAAAATAGAAAGAGCACCAAGTAATTGATCGATCAAAATTTTAGGATCGCCGTAACCGTGGATAATAGGCAGGACATCGCAGACAAAGCTCAAGTGGTTGAAGTCAATGGAAAGAAAGGTGCGTTGACACTGATTGAGCCATCTGCATTAGTTGGCTGAAGCAAAACTGTGACGATTTGTCGTCATCGGTGACTCCATAATGTCTGACGTTTTTCTGTCGATTTTGTCCAATTTTAGTGATGCACTGCCCCGTTGTGTCGTGTTCTCGAAGTCTCGCGAATCGCGCCGCCCTTCACCAGCATCTATTCACTCACATTCAAGGCAATCAAAAGCGCGGAGCTGCCGGTCTTACAGATGATAAACTCTGTCCACTCTGTCGTGCTGAGCAGGGCTCTCATGAGAGTCTCGTTCGGCACATCGTCGATATGCACGACACCCGACTCGAATGCACGGAGTGAGTAGCATTTACGAACTACTCGGTGATTAGTATGCCGGGCTGCCATCCGCCTAATCGAAATAGAATAGAACGGAATTAATAGGTCTTCAAGAAATAAACGTTTGACTTTTTGCTTTCTTATCTTATTGAGATCAAGCCTTGTAGCACAGAAATGTATGTATACGTGGTCCTATGGAATGTACGATGTGTTTTTAGATTTGCGACCCTTATAGCCGTCGATGAATCTCTGAGGCGATGCTTGCTACACCTAGCTGGACTTACCTGTAACTTGCCTTTTTCTTTGCAGACACGAATTTGAGACAATGTCAGATTTCCAACAATGGAAGCGCCGCACGGAACAAGAGGACCTTTCATCGTTTGAGTTAGGGAGGTGGGGTAAAAGTCACTTTTGTTGCTGTCGAGCCGGTCGCGTGGAGCCGGGCAAGCACGTGAATGTACGAAGAACTCGATTAGGCTTCGAATGTCCTGCGGCTATGGTTGTTCGAACAGACAAAGCCCAAGGTCAACCCAGTCGAGTTAGGGTTACGTATTGGCGCACTCACCTGGGACACATACCCAGTGTGCTGGACGTCCGGTACGTGTTAGACTGGCCGAATAACTATGAGCAATCCTTAAACTACTAATGCTAGAGAGTAATGAAAACATACAATTGCCTGTCTGCATTATGAACTACAGTGTTGTTTGTACAGGCTTATGGTGAATTCGTATGTATTTTGTAATGTATTATTGCAATTTCTTTCTCTTAGAATTTTAAAGGAACAAAGGGAATGGATTGTGTCGCTTCTGGAGGCTGGGCATACAAATCGATCAATTGTTGCTCAAGGCGCCAGCCGATACTTCGGACCGCCGCTAAACAAAATCCACATGCTCACAGAAAGATACCTGAGAAGATTAGCGAGTGAGCTACAGGCGAGAACGGACAAGACTATTGGTCCGGGTATGATTGATGTCCCGGTAAGGATACAGCTGAAGCAAGGATGCTAGTAATAGTTCTTCGGTTTCTTGTATTCAAGAAAAAAATAAAGAAAAACCAATATAACAAAGGTCCCATAGTAGTTGTTTTAAACTAGTGCACGAAATCCCCCAAAATATATTAATAAATAAAGAAACTAGATAATCTTTATATTTATTGGACATTTATTATTCTACTTCACTAATCCATTATGTCTGTATTATGTTGGCGGTCCATTGGTAAATTTTAGAAAGCGTACGAGTATGGTAATACGGATCAGCTGCGCTTGGCATTAGCGGATATGATTCACGAGGGTCTTAACCGTGAGGCTGACGAGCGTGCCCGGGTCGAGAGCGAAAAGGATTGCGGGGTTAATCGTCACGACGAGAAAATTGTAAATCAACTCCTAAACACATTCCTTGACCTCTTCTTGTTGTTACCAGATTTCTCAGTTTTAGGGTGCTTTGGAGATTACGGCAAAAACTATAATCACTATGATATATAAAATGAGTTTATTTATATCCTAGATTTTACCCTATTATATAACAATTTTCGTTGTCACTTGCGGTTGCAGTTGGGTGGATACGGAGTCCTCGAACATGGTCGCACTGGAAGATATCAAGTGGTAAAACATCGTTATGAACATATCAAAGGCGATCGACAGCATCAGTCCATGACAGTCGTGGTATTTCCACGAAAGACTGCTCACATGAGCTGCGAGAAGACGTGTCCCATTTGCCAAGTTTGCGTGCATAGGTGAATAACTTTAATGGTAGTTTACATAGTTTAGTACTATGTTCAAACTTCAATTACTCATTGAGCTCAAACTAGAGCTGTTAAGAAGAAAAAAACGTAGAGGACAAGCTTATTAGTAAAGTGTACCTTATAGTCCTTTTGAGTTACAAAGTGACGGTTAACGTATTTCAGGTATGGGTGCACCTGTAGCGCCTATATGCTTCACGATCGGATGTGCGTCCATATTCATCGTATTGCGAGTCTAAAAGGGAATCCCTCATCTGAGTATGTTCGTCCAGATATGATTAAAGAGGACACAATTGGATTGACAGAGGCGCTACGTCGTCTACAAACACTCAATCACCGAGAAAAAATGAAACCACTTTTGCCGCTTGCTGATGAACTATTCGAACTTATTAAGGTATTACTCTTTACTCTTAGCAAATATAATTTTATACGTGACTCACTATAGACAATGATGAACTCCTTAGGGCAGGTATTTTCTAAAACGTTTTGCAGAAATTCTAATATGGAGCCAACTCAAAAAAACAAGAGGCAGCCGTCGTAAATATTAACACAATATATATATATAGTATTTTTATTGTTTCGGTAAAAGTTACATTGTACCATGTTAGAAACGCTGTTGTGACCAACTTTAGTTCGTTCCAAAATTTCCCCATTGAATGTGATTTTTTTTTTATTTATCGCTTGTGAATTTTAGGCTAATCGCACAGTGCATCCAGATCAGGTGGAAGCGTTTCTTCGACAGGGGCTCGCGATGATGAAAGCTCATCCGCAGCTGCAACCGACGCGCGATGAAGAAGCAGATCTGGGCCCGCAGCCCATTGACTCGGCCGAGGCCCGCAGATATATGCGATGCAAACACCCGGACAACCGTTCCTACAACGTTATCTCATCCAATTGGGACAGAAATGTAAGTATTTAGATTATCTCACACGAGCCTCTAACTATACCAGAAATCATCTATAAAAAAAATTCGGCTGCCTAAACGCAAATTAAAGAAATTAGGAGAGATAATTCAAAAATTTATAGCTATTCAATTTTGTCATGCTTTGTTAATAGTCATATCTTTGCGTGGCTTGCATTGCACTTCACCCTTTTAAAATGATTAGTGTATGATCGTCGGTGTGGAGCCGGGAACAACGAAGATCAAAGATGAACCATTAGACGAGGACATAAAGCCACCTAAAGTGCCATCTCCAGCGAATAAGGAACCCCAACGCCAACCCGCAACCGTGAAGTCTGTGGTCGTCAAGATGTCGGGTCCCCTGTCTAAAACTAGTCAGCAGGCTCGATTAAACCATCCTGTCGCTCCACGAAAGCGCTTCCCAGGTCAGGCCAACGATTCAGAGGCTGGACCATCAAAGAAAACCAAGTTCACTTCGGTTCAAGCTCCTGTTAGCGGACTGGCGGGAAAACAGGTGGCTGGTCGCCGGGGGAAGGATAAAGTTGTCCTTATGAAATCAAAACGAATTGTTGTAGTAAAACCGGACTCTCTTGGCGTTCGACCCTCCGGACCGTACTCGACAGGTCCAACACTTAGCTATAGTTATGCTACCTCAACGGCAAACAGTTTTACGCACACTCGAACTCCTAAAACATCTCATCGAAAAAATGCATCATTAAACAAGAATCAATGGACGGCAGCTGTGCAGCTTCCGCCTACGAGTCATACTCAATCTCAAGCAGACTTTGTCGTAATACGTCCTGGTGATTTAGGCATGTCCACTGGCAGTTCATATCATCAAAAAATAGTACCATCAAACCATCAAGTAAGTTCTGTACCACACGATACACAACAACCACAGCAAGAAGAACCTCAACAGCAGCAACAGCAACCGACAGAAAGCATAGGCGACGCCTCGTTCGAGGACGCATTCGAACAACCCAATCCAACGCACTCTGGTATGCCTCCGGGAGTGGAACCCCTTCGGCCGAAACAGGAGCCCGTTGACGAGAATGTCGTAAGTGGGGATGGCAATCCCAAAGATTCAACGTTTACCCTGACGCAACTATGAGCATCCACAGCTAGTGACATTAGGTTATGATACGAAACACTGAATTAAAATTCAGTCACAGGAATGCAAAAGGACAACAAAAAGATGAACCTATGCATTACGTTCGTGTAGAACTGGCAGAATTATGGTGAAGTCCGATAGCCTGTACACGTTGTGCCACGTCTCTATAAAGCTTATGTGTCCATTGGACAATGATAATAACAACAATAATAAGTATAAATTTAGACTCCATCCAATACACTTGTGTTTTAAGCGCCACGTTCCGTATTTAGACTAAGAGGAGAAAGAACGTGATAGAAATAGTCATTTACTATACAATCTATAAACTGCATTGACAGTGTGTTTTTTTTTAGTAGCAAGTTTTCGGGAATGGTGCAACGAAACGTGTAAGGTTGAGCAAACACTCTGCAGAGTTTATCCATTCGAGTAGATCTGGTGACTAAACTTGAAAAACATAAACAATTTATTAGATGTGTGCTGGTTAGACTGATCAAGTACGCACATAAGACGTACAGATTATTAAGGTTTGGTAAAGTAATACGCAGGGTTTCATAGGATATCGATTTTGTCCATTTTGAGTAAAGTTTTCCGCCCTGGACTTGACTATGGTAAGCTTTACGCACTACTAAGTGTTGAATGGGCCACATATTTAATAAATACCATTTGATACGCAATGTGTTCAGGAACTTCTTGTAGAAATTTATCTTGAACATTTTTGTAAATTATACGGATAACAGCAACGACTGGCGTTCCTTGCGACAATGGCGTCTCAACTGAACTGTACAATGAAGACAGGAAAGCTTTTCTGTATTGATAATCATGTGTATATACATTCATGCAGTAGAGCGAAAAATCGAATGACGGGATACCAAATAACTTAGGTTAAATTTATACATATAATAAATCTTATCATATGCAGTAACTTGTATATGCATGAACAAGCTGCATGGACTGAGGTGTGAATGAACCAGGTGTAGACAGCCCTTTCTTATGAAATTCCCTACAGAAAACGTGGTAGATAGTTACGTTAAGAGTAAACTAAAAGAAGAAAATATTTCAATAGGGCATATTATAAAAGCGAAGAAGTAGTCACGCAGTTAATTTCTATACATTTCTCTTAAATGTGTAATATAAAAAAAATTATCCTAACTTATAATGAAATGATTAGGTACATGTGATATATATGTCAAAATATTTGTGAACACTTATCTGAAATAAACTGCGATTTTCTTTTTTTTTTGAAGAAATATCCTGCTTACTTGGTTATATCTTGGTTATATGAGTTAATGATACGGACAGTAAAGCTATTCCGAAAATTTAGGGATTTTACGAAAATTTACGAAATTTAGGGATACATGAGATGACCTAGGTTCGAAGTCGGCCATAAACAAACTTACTTTGGTGCTAAGAGTTAGCAGTCTGAAGTAACGCGCAATGGAAGTGCCGAACATAAAACCCAGAATATTAATTGGGTTCAACACCGGGCGTAAACGCAGTTCGTTTAACGCTAAGAGCGAGTTGTCCGAAGCAATGTTGAGTTGGATTAAAACTTGAAACATTTATTAGGTGCGGTAAATCTAGTAATCAAGTAATAAAAGAATGTTGGTGACGTAGGTTCTTCCATACCATAGTAATTAAATTATTTAAAATAACTTCAATATATACCAATAGGTTCTTCGCTTTTGTAACTTCCACTGAGTTGAAATTATAGAATATATTGCTAGTTGCTTCGTAGCTATCCTAATGGCCATTAGGAGACAATATAGGTAGGTTAGTATTCAATTAACCACTCCTTTATAGATCAAGCAATTTTAAAGCGCCCTCTATAAGACGAACCTCTTTAGCTGCCCAACATTATTTTATTGTGAAAACCGGAAATTAGTAAAGGATATTTTTTAAACATCATTCATGTTTCGCGAGCAAAAGGCCACATGACATTTTTTTAATATATTCTTTACACATGCTGCTTTAACGTTTTTGTTTTAAAAATTTGCGTACCTGTCAGTCAATAAACGTTGTCCGATTGACATACATATATAAGTTCATCGCTACAAACCACATTATCTTAATGCCTCCTCTTGACGTGTTACACCATTGCGTATATATTTTATAAATCGTTCGATACAATAAAAGTATAATTAAATACCTTCTGATGTTCACGCGAAGTATTTGTACTTTTTAGAATTTACAGAAAACGAAAAATGTTTGCTCAACAAGTAACACCATGACTAATTCATAATGATTTGACGTGCGAAGCCAATGTTATCTAGTAATCACACGCACTTTATTCTATGTCAGCGCAAGTCTTAAAGTTTGGTAATGTAATAAAACACAACAATATTTGTACATTCTGTATCATGCAGATTCAATGAGGAGGGAACATTTTTCTTCGGCCCTATCAGATTTAGCTATGGAGGGTTCTAGTTATTGTGCATTTGAACATTTTAAATTTGACCGGGCCGCCGAGGGTCTGCTAGATTCGTAGCCGGTTCGAAATACAAAAAGAAAACATGCTGCTTCCTCATGCGCAACGTTCTGAACCATATGAGATTGTCAACAAGGAAAGAGGTAAACATATTCGATTTGCCTGTACTGACTGTGCATGGGTGTGCTGAGTGTGGTGTTTTTAAGATTAGATTTTGTAAGTATACATTTTGTATAAAGTAGTTTATCGGCGAATTGAATTTTAGCAGTGCATAGCCATCGACAATTGATGCGGCGTCTCGTGGACAATATTTACATTGAACAACGCATAAATTCTAGAAGATAAAATGGACAGAGCTGTACCTGGAAACGGGTGCTTGTAACTTCGTGTGCAATAATTATTCGCACATTTATTGAGATTTTAGTTGGAAAATTCGATGCAAAAGAGTCATTCTGCAAAAAAACCGACTTGAGGAGGTCAGTTGTCCTAAAGCGAACTTCTGACATAGCATCAATCTATCTAGCTGTGGATAAAATAGCTTGTACAAAATCGATACCCAAAAACGTGATCATTAAATATTCCCTGGTCACCCAAAGGTAGCTGTTCCTAATAAACTGTGCCAATTTGAAAATTGTAATTTGTGTAGATAAATACATTTTAGTTGTTTATACACTGATACTCGAGAGTTTCCATGGCTCTGGGATTCGGCATCGAACCGTTAAGCCTTCAACAAGATTTTTTGATATGATGATATTAGTTGCGTCCAAAGCGGTCTTCTTGTGTGGTCTAAATGTTTTAATAATAATGCATATGAAGTCCTAATCTAAAGGTGAAAAAAGATATTTGAGCTGTGGGTCTATTGCTCTCGGTTACTGCATTTGTTAGATAGCCTTCTCACACTTTCAGGTGTTCAAGGTAACTGAGCGTTTTCTTCGATCCAGAGGATCGCTTTTTCCACTGATTCGAATGTTCCGCACATGTTCAAGTAGGCCGAGAGATAAAGAAAAAATCAAACTATTTGAGTAACCGGTTTTGAAAAATGTATACCAATCGTTTTTTTTTTTCATAGGTCATAGGTAACTGAAAATTCTGATAGTGCATCATCCAAGCTGGAATTTCGCACACACTAATGTCTCAAGCACGAATCGTCGTTCATCGTTCCGAGGAGGGGGAATCCTATCCGCCAAAGGATGCTCGGATGTCAACATGGCCTTCGACGGTCGTGTATGAACACAACTATGGTGTAACGTACCATCCCGTGGAACCCCTTGTAAAACAAACAGTTCAAAGCGTTTCTGTGCCAGTTCAGGAAAACAATATTCTTACCCCAAACGAAGTGACCCACTTTCACAATGAAAGCAATAGAATGTCCACTTTCCCTGTTGAGAGTGAAGCACCACTTGCTTTCCTCTATCGGGTGAAGCGTTTTAATCCCAAGGGCGGGTCACTCTGCAATCTCCGATGGTGGTGCGACGCCTACGGCCCATATCAGCTCGACGGTAATTGAAAGTAACCCCAAATACTACTAACCCAGACATATATGATAAGTCTGCGTGCACTGGAACAGATTTTTTAAAGCTTTTGCTATTTGAGTCGGTAAAATGTCGACACCTACACCAATGCCTTACTCGTCTTTTAATGTGATTGAAAACAAAAGCAAATCGAAAATGCTTGCAAATATATTATAGCTTTCTGTTCAAACTATTATGAGGTACGAGTTACGTAAACTTCTATTCAACCTACACTGCTTGATCTAACAGACGGGACGGGCGAACATGGTCTTGGCCCATTTTGGATGCAGGCTGAGTCGCCGAGTAATCCATTCAACGTGGCGTGTCCTAGAAGTGCCAATAAGGCTAACCGATGTCCAGCTCGAGTCAGCTTGAAAGCCGATGGAACCTTCCATAAAAGGTGGGTCGTGTGTGAAAGAGTGAGAACATTTCTCTCGTACTGTTTATGCTGTTGTGAACAATAACATAACCGTACTCATTTGGACCAACATACAAAGCTGTTCAATGAAGACTGGCCCAGAACTGTTTACCTGTCTTTATACATCAAAAGCCATTCCTACCGATGTTGATTTGCCTACACAGAATGAACTGTTATATTTCATGTTTGCAGACGTCATTTCCACAACCATCCACCTGAAAATGAGATGCCACCGCCCCTCGAGGGTGAATTGCAACTGCCCGCACTTCTACCGTCTTACGATCAGGTAACAACTGGTTTCCCTACCTACGACAGATCTATATTTAAAAAATATTTGGGCTCTTTAGGATTCTCTTTGTATATGTTTTAACCTTCTGTTAAGCCTAAACTTCGGAACCGAAAACAACGTAATGATTGAGTATGATACATGGTCAGAGATACACACTAAGGAGTTATATATGAGCCAGTGGCGTTTTTTATTTCAGCATTTCCTTCGCTTGTCTCGATACAGATACCTATGGTGCCGAGTTACTATCTGCTAACGCCAATAATTTGTTTTTGATTGATAACTTAGTTAGTTACCTCTAGCTTATGCATACGACACATCTCGTTTAATAGCATTTATGTATTCTGGTTTTTTTTTTAACTGACTAGGTGGCCGCGAGCGTCATAACTACACGTGTCCAGAAAGCACACAGAGGTGAAACTACTTCTAGTACATTAGACCAGCAGTATCAGCGAAGCGAACCGCAATCTCAGCAACAAGCGATTGTCCAGTTGTGGGACGAAGGAGCCAAACAAATGACCGAGTGAGTTGGCTTTGTTATTTAATTTTTTCGATTATTTCGTCTCTAAAACTGGGTTTTTTGAATAACAACCATATTTAATCCGCGCTATTTTATAGATCGGAGTTCTTAGTTCATCTTGGCATCAACAGGAAATACGCAGCGTGAAAATTAGCAGATTTGATCAGATATTCAAATATGAGATCTAGCTAGGTTTTTAATTTGACCATGTTTTTCAGGTTGGCAGTCACGGACAAGAACATTCCGAAAATCGCTGAACTTGCGCAAGTCGTCCAGGAAGATGGAGTAAATGGTTACAATTGCAAATTTATCTGCATGAATATAATCCATCACTTCTTGCTATGAACCTCTAATGCAGTATGCTAAAGTCATATCATATATCATGTGTACATTTGTATAGATATTCTTAAGAAAACTTGACTATTATTGCTTCAGTATCATTCACATAGCAAAAATAAGCCCAAAAATGTTAATTCTAAGCCGCCGTTCTCTATTGACTAACCATATTAGCATTAATTGTACTTGTTAAGCATATAATTAACTACAAATTTATTTTCTAACCGTTCCAGTTATTCAGTGCCCTCTTACTCAATGTAACCGAAGCGTCGGAAATCGTTCTGCTCTACATAAGCACCTTAATACGCATCTTCACGAGTATCAACGGCGAAGTACATCTAGTCGTGGCTGTGACGACAAATTGTGTCCACTATGCCGAAGTAAAAATGATTCTTACGAAGATCTTATTAATCATATTGTTAACGACCATGATACGCGCCTAGAATGCACGGAGTAAGTTCAGCTATAACTGTGATTACAATAGAATATCCTAATAGACCTGGACAACTGACGAGAGACGTCCAAATTATCTTGCATTAGAATCTGATCTGTTTCGCACCATTGGATGAGTATGATGTCATAATAAGCATATGCAAGGCTATATTCATTCTGAACTTTGTGTATGAACAGGCACGAATTTGAAACAATGTGGGATTTCAAACAATGGAAAGAAAAAGTCGAACAAGAAGACGAAGCCATGTTTCAATTGGGAAGATGGGGCGCTGGACACTACAGTTGCAGTCGTGGTGGTACGAAGACTGTGAAGTCCAATCGACGACCTCGATTAGGTTTTGAATGTCCAGCAGCTATTGTGGTACACTCTAACAAAACTCACGGCCAACCCAGCCGCATACAGGTTACCTACTGGCGAACCCATATAGGTCACGCACCTAGTCTAGTGGATATTCGGTAAGAACAAAACACATTTTTTATAATTAATATTTTCTAGTGAGCGATTCGCGTCAAGCAGATTTGGCGGATGCTAAGTGTTTTTTTTTAATCAGTATGCCAAAGGAACACGTCGAATGGATCGTGTCCCTTCTCAAGAATGGTCATTCAATCCGTTCGATTATTGCATACGGCGCAAGCCAGTATCTTGGGCCACCGTTGAGCAAAATCCATATGCTGACTGAACGATACCTTCGGTACGTCATCAACGACGCCATGGCCAGTGCGGATAAAAAGAAAACAACACTGAAGTGCCCATCTGATCCACCTGTAAGGCTTTTAATATAATACTCGCTGCGCTCAGTACATAAAAGTATCTGCTTGGTAAATACGGACAGTCGTATGTCGTATGTAAAAGAATATGTCGACTGCTGTTAATAGAAATGCTCGACAAGAATTATGCCTACCCATTTGATGATTTAAAAAGCTTTATATGTAGCAACAGAAGCTCGTCTCTAAACGGGAGAGGCCTCAGGCTGAAACAATACAAAATATATTAATAAACAACTTTTTTGGCTGTTGTCGACCTCACTCTGACGTTATTTAATTCTATGTACTTATATACACCTTAGAAAGTCTACGAATACGGTAACGTCGACCAATTGAGAGTTGCCTTGGCAGGGATAATTCACGACGAAATGATACGTGAAGATGAGGCACTGCGATTAGCAGAAGAGGCAGCTTTTCCACAGGAGACAGGGCAGGTCACTGGAAAACGAAAGCGGCGGTCGACCAAATGTGTCCTCGATAATGATGAGGCCGATCAGTGGACGCGGGGACCTGCAAGGCATAATGATAAATGCGTAGGTTTCATCCACGAATGTCTTTATCTAAATTATAATTGCATATATTTGTAGTGTTACCCTATCATGTTGATCGGGCATTGAATCGTTTTAATTATTATTCTATTTGTATTTGTTACCCTACTTTTACATGTGGACTTCATTAGTTGACGGCGTACGATGTGCTTGAACACACGGAATCGGGCAGGTATCAGGTACTAGGTCATGGATATAAATCCATTCATAAAGGCGAACAACCATCAACTGTGGTGGTTTTTCCTAGAAAATCGAGCCACGTGTCATGTGAAAGGAAGTGTCCTCAGTGCCAAGTTTGTGTACACCGGTAAGTCATTTGGAACTGGAGTACTGATAAAAGATATTCTATTCACGTCTAATTGAACATAAAAATAGTTAAAGGTATTCTGGCTTTAAACGGCCTGCTTTTAATAATTGCCAAACCTAATTACTAAAAGAACAGATGCCAATATATAAACAGAGCTTGTCTAGCAAAGACCTAATGAAACGGCTAAGCCTGACTGTGACTAAAACAAATAAGTTCTTACTAAATAGTTTTCTTTTAGGATATTGCACTTAATGTAAGCCGGCACGAGATCATTTGTATTTTTCGTCTTGTTCATTTATTATATACTGGAAAACGAATTACTCTAACCAGTTATGTTTCTCGGTAAGATATGGCTGCACATGTCGTTGGTACATGATGCATAGCCGAATGTGCGCACATATTCATCGGGTTGCGAGCTTGAAAGGTGCTCCGTCTTCAGAATATGTCGACCCAACGGTCGCGGGGGCAGATACCCTGGGCTTGCAGGAAGCTCTGAATCGTTTACAGAATCTTAATCGGCGTGAAAGACTTAAGCCGTTAGAGCCTCTTATTAACGAGCTCTTTCAACTCATGAAGGTGTGTTGTATTGTATCATTACCCTCACTGTGCAAAGTCACCACACTATTGTTTATTTCAAATGCGTCGTCTTAACAATATAGCTCTTTGTCCGTTACCTAATATATTGTATAATTACGGTTATTAGCTAAACCGCATGTTTTTTTAACAGCATCATTCATAAAGGGTATGCGTATTTTGGTGTTTCTTTGTTCGGTCGTTTGTTACATACTTGATCGCAGAGCGACCATGGTGTCCATCCCGATGAGTTGGAGTCTTATGTTCGTCAAGGCATAGAAATGATGCGCCGTTACCGACCCATACAACTCACCCGTGATGACGAAGCGCTTCGGGGAATCCAGCCTCTTAAAGCGACGGAAGCTCGTCTCTTTTTGCGCAATCGTCACCCAGAGCAAAAGCGGTACAAGATTCTTGCGACGAACTGGGATATCGACGTAAGAGCCTATGCTAGTTGGTTCAAACGCTGCTACGTATAATACAGTAATTACATAATAACTATTATGTGTTTTATATAAACTTATAAAGATTAATTAATTCTAATAAATTAGTTTATTTTTTAGCTTTACGATTTTAGAATTATGCGTAATTTTACATATGTAATGTGGTGGTTGCATTACATATGTCACATTATAAAGCAGCGGATGCTTTAAACTCAGTAGGTGATATCTCTGGTACCCGATGCAATCCGTTTATTTACAACAGCATAGGTTTGACCACTATTACTATAAAACAACTACTCTCTGATCTACCAAACATAACATGTGAATTTAAGTGTTATTTTGTGTTTTTTAATACCAAGACGGCTTTTTCTTTTGTTCTTTTTAGCCAAAGGTGAGAGGTTGCAAAGGTGGCGTTATGGTCCAGATTGATGGTGTTTTTAAGCTGATTCCGACCTGGAAGGCAAGCTCGAACACTACACGAGCCCTAAATAGTCGCATGGATAACGCTTCGGTTTCAAACTCTGTAAGAACAAGTCAAGTGATGCCTAACAATAGTAATCCTTCAACTGCTCCAGCGACATCTTCAGACGAAACAACAACAGTTTACCAGTCGCAGGCTGTAACGATGACGACATCTAAGGAAGTGGCAAAATGCTCATACGTCTCAAGGAATCCTTTAAAAGAATCAACTGAGAAGCCAACTCGAAGGAAGCGAGCTGGATCTAGACAGTCCGACACGAGTGAAGATAGTGCCCGGCCATCAAAACGACCAACGTTGCAGAGCAAAAAGGAGCGGCCGCTGCCAGCTTTAATGGCATTGTCAGACAGCCTAACTGCCCATGGTCCCTCAGACAGGATTCTGCAGCCACAGTCCAGCCAAAGAAAGGTAGTCGTCGTGAAGATTGCAAGAGTTGGGGGCGAACATCCGGAGGTGAATCCCTCCACGTCTTCAGCTCTGCATATCTATCCTGAATCGACGAATGTAACGCAAGCACTCTCATTGTCAAACATAGGTAAGGTCAAAATGAGAATCTATAAAGTCTCAAACTTCTTTAGTAGTTACATTTATCACAATGTCGGCCCTTATTGCAGGTTATCATTATGTAAAATATCTGGAGAAGTTTGTGTAAAAAACCTAAATTAAAATCTGCACAAAAAGTTTGTCAAAACCCGCAGAACGGCAAGCCTGCGAAGATCTCTTTAAACTGATTTATGAGTTATCTTCTATCCTTGCTAATAGAATCTGCAGGTGAACACAGAAAAGCTACTTCTATAAGCATCTGTGTGGCCAAGAACCCGGCTTCAAGCGGAGAAATTGAAATGTCATCAGTTGACACGACCCTACGAACTTCACGTGCTAATCTCGGAGGACCAGCAGTTTTTGGGACACAGTCCAGTATGATAGGATCAGCTCACATAATTGTCGAAGGAACCCCTTTGATGGCATCGGGCAATCAACTGTTAGAACCCAGCGAAGAGGAACGACGAAATGGCGTCGACATGTTTGTGGCTCAGTTGTAATCTTTAGGAGACATACTTTCTTATGCTAAACAATGTGACAAATCTTGTCTAGTATCTAAATATGTGGAGTAATAATGTAGTTAAGCAATTTAGCACGTTAGTGAAAATGCTGGGTGCTACATAGAAATAACAAAAATTTCATTGTAGATATGAAAAGATCGGCCTGCATCTTCTACAGTTAGTGTAAAGTATGAAAAGAGCGGCTTTCAACAACCTTTTGTAGAGAAGAAAGTGGACTTGGATGGCCACTTCTGTTGTAGCGTGAACAACGTTCGTACAAACATAAAGCGTTTTAGCATAAAAGCGCACTGCTTTTAGTGAATGGAGTGACCTGACGTTTTCGTAACTACTATGGTGACAAGGTTCTGTATAGTACATAACACAGGCAACTTACCTTGAAAACAAAGTGCTTTCAAAAGTGCCGTGTTGCATCTATTTGCATGTTAAGTCTTGTAAGGAACATCGCAAATATCACACTATTGAACATCTCATGTTTACTTTTGACTGGAAATGTGAAATATTTCATCTGTTTTTGGTAATCAATGCGGACGTACTGTCACACTAACAGTAAGCATCGATGATATGTAAAATCGATGAATTTGGTTCCATATGTTAATGCGGAATATAGTTAAAACGCCAAAACGTATATGCAGTCAGTTTCACTAAAAAATGAGTCATTTTCAACAGTTCTAGAGGAACAGACTTAGGTTAGAATATCAAGCGACCATGAGCTTCTTTCAGGTTGGATCTAAGTCAGGTTGATATGCTTGTGATAAATATCTTCTACAAAAAAGTATGTTTGACACTATGATGTTGCAAAGCTTTTTTATTAGCTGTACAGCCCGAAAAAAATTATAAATCTTAAAGTCATCATGTACATATGAACGCGCCCTTTAGCTTTCCTGGTTGTCTTTCTGTGAGTGTCACACAATTATCCATATTATTGTGCATATTGAAAATCGGTATTGTACGGCCATAGAATTAAGCCATGGGCAATAGCAGTGGTAAACTATTGCTAACGCTTTTTTTGCATCCGTTAGCTGATTTTGTATAAGAGGAGAGTGGTATAGGCTTTTAATGCATTTTGGCTCAGAAATATGGCTTGTTTATGAGCCTAATGCACCTCAGCCGATGATACCTTGGCTCGTGAAAAACCCTTCGTGTAAATAGTCGGAACTAGACAATTCGCCTCAGACTCATTTTTGCATTGTACATAAACCCTGTAATATGCCAAATCTACAGCAGCCAACTAGTGTCACACTGTCAAATAATGTTCGCTTGATTTGTTTGTCACCTATTAATCTCCTCAAAGCTAAAATCACTTTAGTATAGATGACTTCAGTGGAATCTGTTTATTGAGGTAATTGGTCATTGTTTACACAAACAATTTTTTGCGACAGTGTTGCAGCATTTAATTATGTTACTTCCTATTGTTGCATTTTTGCATGATATATTCGTTAAAATGACGCAGACATTATTTTAGATTATCTAATGGTTGATTCTAATGATGACCCATCACGTGGCGTGAGAACCAACAGATACTTGTAGATTGTAGCTTACGTTTCGGCCAATATTAATCAAAACTATGCTCTCTAATTCCTATTCTCATAATCTGAAAATATTTTAGGTAGTAGATATTCGCTGTGGTCCAAATTAAACAAGGAAGCAGCTGATTTATTTTATTCTGAAATTCAGGAATCTAACTTACTTCTCAAAAAAGTTTCAACTTCCTTTATCTATCATGGTATCATCACATCAATGGAATGTGTGTGCTAATGTTGTAATTATAGAGGCGTGCTTCAAAAACGCCATCCGCAGTGAGTGTTTAACTGCCACATTGACACTCAGAAGTTTCAGCCCTGCAAGGAAAAAACTAAGTTCAGCGGAAATAAAAACTTAATACTTTAATTACAGGAAATGTTTTTCTAATATGTAGCTTACGTAATGCATATTATTATATTACTGAAAATATATAGCAGCGTATCTTTATTTATGTCAAAATAAATGTATATAAATATCTAAAATAAAGGTTTTTGATGTGGTTGTCATTCATGATGTGGTGAGTACCTTTGTAGATATTTGATACTTAAATTTCCCCTAGAAATTTCTCGTTCTAGCGAGTCGAATACTTAGTAAGTTTGAAGAAGTGAATAGCTATTTATTTCGATATGCGTAAAGTAATATTTCATTCAATGCAGCCTGTCGAATCTAGCTTGTGTATAACTTTAAACGCTATAATTTTTCTGAATACATCGAAAGCAAACTCGTGCATTAAATCTGTTATTAAAAAAAATGTTACCGGTAGACCACATTTGGCATGTAAATAGAGTAAGAACTTTGCCTTACCAGAATAGTTGGTCATCAATAGGGGAGATTGCTCAATGTCGTATTCGCACAAACAGAGTGAGGAGGTGGAGAGAATCTTTAATCGATTAAGCATAGGTTTTTAGATCTCCGTTGAAAACGAGCTATATCAATTAGGCTATGAGTTCTTGATTTAACAAAGTGAAATGATATAAAAAAGCTCGTAAAAGTAGCGCGTTTTAAAGTGTTATTCCGAGCGAATAAAGAACCAGTATGGTTAACTCTTCGCGTGTGGTTTGCGAAATAGTGCTCAACAATCGGCGATGGACGAAATAGGCTAGCTGGTTATGTTGACTCCCTAAAGAGAACCTACACAGGACAATAGTACACGTAGTGAAACGGACATTTGGTGCAAGTTCCAGGTAGACTCTAAAGTAATAATGTAACCTGTCACAGGTATCAATAATTGCGTCAGCTACTAGTAGCAATTAGCAGAACCTAGTGTGCGCACCTACTGATATTGCAAGTTCGCATCGAAAAGCTGGAATTATGATGTGGAATAAGAAATACAATATTGAGTGAAGGCTTTATCCTCGAATTCGACGAACTTTAACCCATATACTTGAATTTATCCCTCTGTATTAAAAAGAGCAATTGGTGGTTTTACATATTCAAACATCAATTTGCACATAGAAGCAGGACTTTAGGTAATGTAATGCAAAATAATAATTATGAAAATTTTAAGAGCAAAAAAAGTAGTGCCGTAACGTACTAACCTGTCATAATGTAAAAGCCTTAATTTTGCTTGTTTAGTACAAAAGCTACGGCAGTGATTTTGCTAAGAACAATTAAAATTATTAGTTTAAATGCAGACTTAGCTTCCGTCAAACTCCATTTCTCCTTCGCAAGTACATATCAACTCAGTTGAGACCACAATTATCTGCGCTGTCTCAATGCATATTTCATAGGAGGTGAGTTTGGGTTCCGGTTGACTCCACAATATTGTATAGTATAATTTTCAATATTATTCTAATGCTTTATTTTTGTATATATATTTGTTTGCTTCTAAAATGAAAAGGTCAACTTGCTTCTCTTTTTGTTGTTTATAATGTAAAATGTTTATTGTTCAATAAGTCCAAATAAAGGAATAGCTCATAAACTACAGGCGCATTTAACATGAACTCTCTGTCTGTTTTTTATGTTTACCTCGTTTTTTCTTCGACTCGTCTCTTCATCCGTCTTTGCTTTACTCGAACCCCTATATCGTCCCCACCATTATCATTTTCATTATCGTCATTAACATCTCATCAGCGCAATCATTGCCTCCATGAACTTACTCTACGTGTTTCGATAGGGACGCTGCAAATCGCATCGCTGAAATCGCTTTTTCCTTATATTTATTATTTTTATTGTATTTATTGTCTTTTTTCGTCGTACTCTCGTCCGTATTTTCTCAGGATTTTCAACCAATACGATTAAAAAAATTCGATCCTCGCTTTCAAATGTTCGGTTCTTGCATCTACTATCTGAATTAAATATGACATGACAGCTGTGCATAGTTTTTCATGAGCTCAACTTTGCTCTATTTAATTTGCTAGTCTTCGCTGCGCTGTCTCATCCAGTAAGTGTTAATGCCATATGCAACTAATGAAAGTAAGTTTCTTCGGGTAGCCTTCATGAATACAAAATACTATTTAATAAATATTCTGCAGACGTGTTTAATCAAAAGGAGGCTTGTGTTTTTTTATGAGTATTCATCGTCGCATAATCTTTCTATCTATGCATAGTTAATTTTCCATTATACCAATTTTTTCATTATTTTCTCTTCCATTTTTGCCTTCCATGATCTAGCCGAGCACAATATCCTATATCTCGTTCTCTTCAATCGAATTATCTGTATCTACAATAGGTGCGCAATCGATATGAAAGCTTGAGACCCATTTGCTCGAAGTTTGTGATGTATGCTGCCTTAATTCTATGTAAAATCATCATTCGTACGGCCACGCTCGATTCCGCTAAAATATTTTCAATATATATTTCCCGCATTTGACTTAGAGCTTCTTTGCCCTCTATTGTTTCGCGCAATAGAAAATTTTTCGTTACTAATTTGCGTTGTCAACAGATGTACTGCCTGGTCGTTACCATTAGTTGATCAAGTGCAGTTATTTTCTGTTATGCATAACTACTGTGCAATCTACCTAACGACTTCAAAATTCAGTGTCATTCATACGACTTATATAAACCTACTTGTGTGCACTCTCAGTCGTAAATTTAAATAGGATTTGCATCCAGATAAGGAAATTCGTCAGTTTATCATTAGCCGTAAACTTGGCAGCTTTTATGGTACATTATTGGACTAAGATTTGATCTTTGACGAAGGAAAAACAAATTTCACGAGAGTCATTGCTACCACCATTTATTAGTGCTGTTATTATGGCTGAGTTACTTAAACTGCTTGCAAATTAAACCAATCTGCAGCTGAGCATCGATTTCCGTTTGTGAAAAAAGCCGGTAATGAAAAATATGTAGAAGCACTCATTCTTTAAAAATAAAATTAAAAACAACACAAACCGGTCAAACTGTTGACTTCATTCATTAGCAACGACAGCCTCATCTAAATCGCAAATCAGTCACCCACTTAGCTTTCCCCGTAACTCTATTCACTACTGCAACGATATATGTTTCTCAATACAAATAACTTGTAAGTAATAACAAACTTAAATATCCGCAAAAAATTACCAATTCTGCGTTAGCGGCTATCTTGGATAAAGGAACACTTCAATATGCGAGTCCTGTTACCTTCGCTTGGCAATTTAGATTCAGCTTACTCGTTAGAGTTATTCAGTTCATGCAAATAAGTTGCTTACAGACAAAATAGTCAAACATTTCCTGCGCCATGCCTGTGCCTTTCACTCATAAATCAGTTAATTGTTAAATTGATTTCATTTCTTGATCTCCCTTTTATCTCACACATAATCGCATGAATCGCCCACAACTCTTTCTGTTGCATAAAACTTTTTTCATTATCAGAATCCTTCCTACCTCCTTCTAAACATAGTCGATCTTGCTCAGCCATCTTCTCGTACGTACACTTCTCGTTTCGCCTGTTATTGATTGTGCATCTATGTCTATATGTGCTTCATCATGGTACTTGACCATCCGCTTAGTCAAAAACTTCGACGTTGTTTTCGTCTTAATCCAGTGCTCCCGGCGATGTTCTGCAAAAGTCCAGCTCCAAACAATCTAATAATACCAAGCTAATGACACTGAATAATCCATCGGAGTTCCGTTTCATAGAAAACTGTTCTGTTATCTTTCTTAGCGATTATTATCAAACAATACAGCTTGTGCTAACAGCCGTGGATTCTCTGTTGGCTAAGCAATACGTATCATAAATAGGTGTTCATTTTAATCTCGTTTTAACTGAAACGTTAGAATAGCTGTCCCATAAAGTTTTGTCCTGCCCGGCCGAGCCTATTTACCTTTACACTGTCGCATTCATCAGCGAACATTTCTAACATAGAACTCAAATTCGAGAAAATGCAGCACTGTAACTGTAAGATGCAAAATTGGCAAGACATTTATGGCAGCCTCGTGTTGTTTATTTTCTAATAGCATTACGTAACCTAGTTAAGAATCCGTTAAGGTTGACCGGAAGAACGCGCTACCGTTTCTAGTCGCCACTGTTCATCTAATTATCACAAACCCGTGACCGATAAAAAAAGCGATAAACACTTCCAAATACTCCTACGCTTTCGTCTGCATAGAAGTAGCAGGAGCACCGATGTTATCCACTTGTCCTCATCATTCTGACTATTATTAATATTATTGTTTTTGTTATTATTGTTATTATCATGAATGATTATATTATGATCCGCGTCTCGTGATCACCGATGTTACCAAATAATCATCAGTACCATCTTAGTGCAGTTGAGCAAACGTACTCTTCTTTCCTCTTTCCTTCTGCCTTCTTCATTCACTGGTTCTGACTCGATATATCCGTTCCCATTCTTTTTCGGTTCTATCTCGGCCAGCGTTTTGCTGGCACACTATGGTCTCATTACTAATGCAAGCGTCGCTCTGCAGTCTATCGAGTAGTTTCTATAGTAACTTTCAGCTCTTCGCGTTCTTAATGATCTTGGCTTACGTATAGGGGCTTAATCCTGTACAGAAATTGGCTTCGTCGCCCCTTCTGTAATAGCTATAATGTTCAATATACTTATAGCAGCACGCCCAATTGCGGTAGGATTTATGTAACGGTTCGTATATCCTAATATTAGCAATAATAATAATAATACGTAAGATGCTCGACCTGTTTGTCCTTGCCGTTGTCCTGGCGAATAGCGGCTATAATAATAGCATAATAATAATGCCGTGATAGTATTTATCATAATAATTATATTCATTATTACTGTACCATTTCCGCCAACATAATAATCATTAGTGAATCATCACTATGAAGCAATTAATTAATCAATTAGAAAATTAATGAATTGAATCGCAATATACAGCACCGGTCACACAGTTATGTGATCCTTTTTATACCCTACGTACACGTCGGTCATACTCATCTATATATATATATAATCAATATCGCAATCTGTTATTATATTTCATGTCCTCAATTTCGTGTACATATACCAGATTTTAATATTATCATCATAGTTATAGGTACATTCATATCGTATGAACCCCGCATCTATTCACCTCTCTCATGCTACGCGTGAATAGACAGCATCACAGAAGACAACCTGCTCTGAACAATCAACGCCGACCTATAGGATTTCACCCATCTGCCTGCGGCCGATAGCCATCTATCGCCTGTTATTATATTCATAAAACTGAATACTAATTCTGAATACTAATTAAAACGACAGAAAGAACCTTTTCCTTTATATTCTACACAACTAAAACCTTCTACCCGTGGCTATATATATATATATATATATATATATATATATATGTATCAACTTTGGCTCTCGTTACGGTGATAATGGCTGTGGTTCCAGTATATTAGTAGAATGTTACTACTAGATGTTACAAACTGAAAATAACTTGCAAGAATTTCAACCACAAAACCGTTCCCGCAAGAATAGCGGATTTCGGTTCGTATAAAGAGCAAATCAATAGATTATTATTGGCGTCATTAAGAAATTATGTTATACTAATGCCTCACTAACTAGCACCCAATAAATGCTATATTTAATTTTCATATACAAAATCTTACTGCTTTTAGCTTTTAGACTGCATTGAGCATAGACAGTAACTTAAAATAAACGATGCAGTAAACTCGCGCATCCCGACGGCCCAGCATCCTCTACCGAAGCATAGTGGAGTGCGTTATCAGAAATCATTTGTGCAATCTCATAACGCCTATATCTGATCGAAGTCATAGTATTACATACTGTATAGGAAATCCATGTACAGTATTCTCTTATTGATTTTCCATTGGCATCTTGTTTCGATTTTACCCGCTGTCAAGCAATTGAAATAGTATGATGATCGGTAAAACACTTGACCTTTTCTATGATAAGGCCTTCCTGCGCTGGTTGTCCCCGTTCACTTTCGATGCCTTTGCGGGGCATTTCTTCGAGTGGCTGGGGCCAGTGACCTGCCGTTATGTACACAACGTTTTCTCCACGCATTAGACATGTGCGTGGGCCAGACGATGACTAGATAACAGCGTAAACGATCATAAAAACAGCGAAATGTGGATTACTGATGCTGAATCATGCCCTATTTCTACCACCCGTATTTTGGCTTTATGGGGAACGAAGAGGAAAAAACTTAACAGCCTGTAGCATATCCTCTATTTCTTTCAAACTAAATGAATTCCCTCACGATCTACCGTCGTAAGACATAGCAATAGTTTACGGATTGAAACAGCTCATTGAAAGCTGCCTTTAAATAATTTCACGGCCCGACATGCTTGCCAGTTACAAGTTTGCTTATCAGTTCAACTAATAACCTGCTTTCCTCACTTCGACTGGTCGTAATCGCGCGTGGACTACGTGAGTTTAACGAAAATCAACCTAAATTCGCTTTTTCCAGTTAGTCTTTCACTGCTACCACCTTCTAACGTGCCCTTGATCCTTCTCGTTTGCCTTATGCGACATAACAATGTCACCATACGCAGTCATTTGTTTCTAGACACACTGTATCATACACAGTTGCAAAACCCAACAAAGGCTGTTCAACACGTACTTTCCTGTTTCTAACTGTGCTCCATCCTCATCAATCATCAAACATTTAGGTGCATGTCAATGAGTCAATTAAATCAGTCAGCCATTCACTCAATACCAATTCGTAGCAATATCGATTAGTCAAGCACAGTCAATCCTGGTCCATCTTTGAGTTCACCGCGGACCCGCTATATTTCAACGCGGCGTTCCGCCCTATTACATTACACTTATGAACATTATAAGCTATGGCGCGACACGTGATCTGAAATATGGTACGCTGTCCGAAATACACTGTAGGCTGATGGCAGAAAAAACGTTGTAGTGATCCTAGCAGCTGAATTCAGTTACTGCTTCAAATCTGCACCGTTCATAATCCCGCGCTTTCTGTTATGTTTCATCTGCAGCGTTCATTTCACTTCGCGTCACTATCATTGCTACTCGTGTTAAACACGTTTATAAAAGTTCATCAATCGCGGCGCCGTTCAAAGTGTCTTTCCAGGACTGTTTCCTCGCGCTTAGTAGCGCTATTTGAGGCAAAGTTAGAGTTGCTGACAGCCGTGCTGCCATTGTCGTTGTCTTTTTTATTCGGGACGGTCTCTTTCTACTGTTTGACCGATGGTGGCTATTATTGTTTCCAAAATCCGCTATTCTTCTGGCGGCCAACCATGCCGTGCATGTGGCAACGCTCAGCACCGTGAGTGCGGAAGGGGTGGAAGAATTCGGCAAGCCCGAGGCGCCTGGAGGTGGACACTCTGCTTCGCGATAGAGGTCCAGCTTTGACGGTATTGCGACGCGCCGCCGGCTGCAAGTGCTCTCACCAAGCAGATACAACTTCCTTCGATCATCGGTTAACGCGAGACAGAATCGCTGTTCTGTGGCGGCCGCAGCCGCTACGACGGCTGGCGGCTGTTCAAGCGTCGCTTGTAGATGTTGATGTGACGCTGATAAATGGTGCTGATGCTGTGGCAGCAGCGGTTGCTGTTGTTGCGTGTCTCGCTGATCTCGATGCGACACGACAAGGTAAGTTGTGCTGCCATGGTCGTCGCTAAGCTCCCACGTGGCCTGAACGGCCATTTCTGCAATGAGATAGACAATGACACAGAGAAAGAGGAAATATGTTTTAATGACGAATAGCTTTTTTTTCAAGTTACTCGTGAATTTGATATGGCGAAAAAATGGAAAACGTCTGTTGCACGGCGAACGAAAGAATACGATCTTGCTTGTGACTTATATCTAGTATTCGTGATAGTGCAGCACTAACTTAGTCGTGTGTTAGGGCAAGTTATTTGCAACAATCCTCAACGACAGCGGCAGACATACGTGCGTGTGTGTGTGTGCAGTCCTGGAATGCACGCGTGTGTCAGAATTGAACTTCCTACTTCGTTTCATCGCAGCAACACGTCTAACAGATTGTTTGCTAATACAAGTACACTTCAGCCATCTTTTCGAGAAACTATCCAATCGAGAACGCAAGGCTAGCGAATACCAGTAAGTACGCAAAACGTAATGAGTTTAGTATCAGTAGAAAACCTAGTGTACCAAACTAAAGACTTACAGATTAGTCTTTGAAGGTCAATTTCCAACTGCTCTCATCTCATACGCTGTTTCCCAGCCATAAAAAGAATGCAGCAATGCTCTTAAACATTTTAAAATGATTCATTTATTTTTATATCAACATCCCACGTTGCAACGATTACTTACCTTTGCCATACGTCTTTCGCTGGCCGCCTTCGGGCGCACACTCGGCTCGCACTTCGAAACGCGACACGTTATCCTCGCAAGCGCTGTACAAAGCCATCTGCTCCGAGCACTGCAGTTCGCCCTGATCAATGCCCTGCTCTCTGGCCGCTACGCTTCCGAGAGTCCTATCAGGATCTTGTAGGGCGGCCTCCATCTGTTGGTCGCCTGATGCCCACTGACTTGACGGGGCTCGCAGCAATTCCGCGAACAAAGCCCCACTGACGCCAACTAAAGTGAACTTGCCCCGCAGAGGGGCTTCACCGAGGCCGGGCGGCTCGGCCAGCAGGGTCACATAGTCTTCGTCGCTCGAATCAAAGTACGCTTGAAGACAGGCGTCCTCATTACGAGGCGTTCGTTTGCCCATCTGTAGTTCCAACACGTTGGCTGCACGCCGGTATACCATTAAGCAGATGTACCCACTGTCACTTCAGCGTTCGAACGAATGTAAATAAAACATAAATTTGGTTAGCACGCCTGGGGTATTACTCACAATCAGCAGGTACATTATTGTATATTTATAATAGTTCATATATTCAGGTAGACAGTATTTCACCGAAGACCGTGCTATCAACGTGGATTTGATTTCGAATTTCAGCTTCCTATCAAGACCTTTTTAGAAATTTGTAGAAAGCTTAACAAAGCATAGAAAAACCGCAAAAACCAGTAAGTTTATAGATGTTTACATAAAAAAGGTTCACTTAATAGAAACCAAGCCACTTTTCTGTTACCTTCTGGATTTCTTGCTTTTGTCGACGTGAGGAATTGGCTTTTTTTTTTGGAAAGCTGAAGATACTTAGAAGAAGCCATCATAATGCTTACATTCAAGTGCTCATAAAGTTGGCGACTAATAACGCTGAGCGCAATTTTAATTTTTCTCTATTTCCGTTACTGAAAACGAACTACTGCTCGTGGAGGTAGTTAACTTTTAATTTAGTATTCTCAACAACTTACACGAAGCCGTAAATAGTTTCTAGTTATATTTAAATCTGCACCGCTTTGCGCCCATTTTAGTTGGGTCACGCTATGCACTCACATAGTTGCCATGGCCAAAAACAACTAAGCTATACGTCTCAGCACCTTTTCCCTAACTTGCAGACAATAATAATAACGCTTATATACTTTGTTATATACAACGTGCAAGCATATAAGTATTCCTTACCACCCTTCAATGGCGTGCACCACGATCTTCGCCTGGTTTTCACCGATATCGTAGACTTCCTCACAAGTCCAACGTTGTTCGATCCATGAACCAGACTGGATGACAAGAGACGAGTTTTCACGCGAAATCTCGAATGAACGCGATCGGTTCAACGTTCGCCAGTGGTGCGCCTCGGCGTACATCCATGAAGGAAATGTTTTCTTCGGCCGTGGACTTCGACTTAATACCTGCCAATGCCAAACAAACGGCGGAAACAAGAAGGCAATTAGAAAAACGCATATAATTACTAAGTAATAATACATTGTAGACTGTACCGTTATGTATATACTAGTTATATTATACGCTATAAGTGGTGTGTTATTTAATAACCTTAGTTCTTAATAATAAGTTCGACGAACACAAGAGCGCGCAATGATGTCAAAGACGAAATCAGCAATTTTATTGCTTTTTATCGCTTGTCAATCGGCATGCGGTAGATGTCTAGCTACAATTGACCTGAGGTAGTAGCAGCTAACTAACAGAACTTGAAGATAATTGTTTGATTCCACCTATATCAATAGCTACTGTATTAATACGAAGTTAAAATTCCCTTATCATTTGTAACCTATATAAGCACATTTTGGCGAAAGATCGCAAATGGCTAAATGAATAGCTAAAAAGACTACAATTTTGAGCAATTCAGTATTGGTAGGAAGGACACCAGATATAAGTTCCTTCCGCTTCCTATGTGATAGCCGCGATAGTGTATCTCAATATGGATGAGAGCAGTCCAGGTGAATAGCCAATTCTTCGATTACCACTATTGATATTCTCTAACGAAGCCGAAACCCTCGATTACTCTAATGTTCGCGATTACCTGTTGTTAACAATACGCCCTGTTCACAGCTGGGTCACTACATGTATCAACGATGTTAAGATACTGGCTGAAAAAACTTATCCATTAATGCTACAGTGTAAACGTTCTGATTGTTAGACGTTCCCACTGCGACTTGGCATCTATTAACGTTATGGTGCAACTACGCACTGTGTTGGCCAAGACACTCTGAACGTCGTCGCGCCTAGGACGCTAAGGAAATAATGAGTTTAGCAAAAAAAAAACCAAAACACATAAGAACCCAGAGGCAAATATGGATTGGAGACAAATACACACCAAGGCTTATGTCTAGGTACGCGCCTTATAACTATACCTTCTCCAACGACACGATACTGCAGGACTCCTCTCACTTCATGCGTTGCTACCCCATAAAACAACTTGAGTGTGACCTTCACTCCCGGCGTTTCGCTTTCATTCATAAATAATGCAGCGAAAACAGTTCCTGGGGAAGCGTTTTAAAAGTGACTACCTTTCTAGTTAGATAGGATATTTATTTTAAAAGAATGTTAACATCCATCCTTTTGCAGAATTTCCTTCCTTTGGTTATCTATGGTCAAAGTTGAACGACGGAAAACTGTCAATCTGTTTCTTTTCCATTTCCGTGTTAGCTCGAATACAGGGCATCATCCGATCGCATATTTTATATGGCTAATTATATGTGCCTTGGTCTTCCGGTGAATGATTAGCGGTACTTTTTTTCTACAACTAATATCTAGAAACAATTTTTCTCCGTCGCGTATTAAGACTTAAGGGTGTGAGCTATATGTGAGGGCTATATTTCTCTTGGGCCAGTACGTTATATGCAATAAAATATACGAGACCGCATACGACATTGACTTCAGCACCTCTGGACTGAGTACTCGTCAAACGTCTTTTCAGCAAGCCCCCATCTAACACTGGAGAAGCGCATTAATATTTTCTATATTTACTCAAAGTCTACCTAGTTTTTAGATACAATTTGGGACATCCGTTGATTCATCAGTGAATCGGGAAATGTCATATATACTGACACGGGGACAAGCCAGGCAATTCGAATATCTTCTAGGTCTAATTTTGCAATGAGCTCTCAGTGATTATTGACTAAAAGTGTCTAAATGTATACAGATTACTCTATAGCTGACAAAGTCGAAGGTATTGGCCATATTTGCATCAGTTTGGTCATTATTATACAGCACGCGTCCAAAACGCGCCGCCTTGTTCATTGGTAACGATCAGCTATTAGACGTGCGGGAGAAGCAGTCATGGCAGGGATTCAGCATGTCGGAGAACCATGATTAGTTGAAACATCGTACACGTCTCCGTGTCACCTACAGCCGCGCTCATTTAGGTGAAGCACTCATATCATTTGGTGGCTAGTACATAATTCGCGCCAACGAACTAATATTTCAGTACAACACGCCATGAGAAACCAATTTTCCGGCCTGAATACCGATATATTCATGGCATGTATATAAAAGAATAAAGATTTTTAAATTAGTCTGACGACCTGGAAGATGGGTTTGCTTTGACAGGCAGTTTCTAAACTAAACTACAGCCCCCTTTTCGTTATTGATCGGGTCTGAGTATCATCGAGCAATGCCACCTTTTTTTGACCATTTTATGATTTCTCACATTTGTCGAATGTAGCTAATCGAAAATGGCTTTTTATGAAGATTGGTTACTATTTTAAGTTAGCTTCCCTGTGCCTCCAGTTTGCCGACCTACCTTTGCTTTGCTGCAAAGGTTCAACTCTCTATTCTTTACAATATCCCTTACTTTTGAAAAGTAATATTTAAAAAATAATTGTTTTTCTAACTTTCAAGAAAATTTTCTACCTTCTTAATGCAATACAGTTATTCACTAACCAGGCGATTATGAGCACCGGGCTTTGGCCATAGATAGACAGGGTCGACTATGTCGCCCAAACACTTGATGAGGCACATATGAAACACAAGTGGGCTTACTGCTGCTACCAGGTTTTTCTCGATACCTCGAGGATAGCAGCTGGTCCGCTGCTATTCTATCACTAAATGGACCCCGTCTCACGCAAGCACCAATCGGGCTACGATCATCACGATGATACTGACAGTGGCTAACAATGAGACCTATTCAGCTTGGAGGTAACAGGCTTGGCCGATATAAGATAGAAAACAAGAGCAGGATAGAAAAGGTCCAGCCAAGCACTTAGCGCTATCGACAGAAGTATGTCCCCCTAGATAGATCCAAATAAATGAATCTCCTTGTCGACCAACGAATGATTGCCACCCCCCACGCCCATATTCCTTCGCATTACCTCTCAAAACGTCCGGACAATTCTGTCTGAAAGGAGTTCCGAGACATTGCTGCGGACCTGATCGCTGCAATTGCTGATGCTATCGCTGCTGACAGAGCTGCCGCAGATCAGCAGCATCTAGCTAACTAACTAGTCTGCGCTCCCTTGATTTGCTTGCCTTCACTCGTTGGGAAGATCGTTGGACCCATGAACGTTGCTGGACACAGCCCTCTGTATGTTCGTCCCTATTTCTCTCGGAATTCTTTCTTTCTCTCACTTTTCTGCACTAGCCGTGTATTCGATACACGGTGGTTATTGCTAACTGTAGTTATGTTAGTCATGGTCATAGGTAGTTACATATGTTAGTTGATATGTCGTGTCCTTCACACGAATTACTGTTTTTGTTCATACAGACACACTCGTACCTATACATAGTTTTTGTCTTATTGTGCTTATTGATAGAACTGCCCTCATTTCCCACTGATTTTATCACACGTGCCTCCCCTGCCCTTTGTCCCTGATTTCTTAGCATAGCCGCCCTCCACTGAATTCTTTACCCTCCCCGAACCTCTGTCTGCTTTTTGTGCCCCGTAGTGCTCGACTGTTTCGCCGATTAAGATCGTCCGCTTGCTCGGTGGCCGCACGGCCGACGGCGAGTGAACCTAATGATGCTTAGCGGTGGAAGGGACGTAAACAAAAAAGGAATTGGACGACGTTTGAAGTGAGCTGCCCTTGGACGACTGGAGTGAGGAAGCCCGCCGGAAAATGAGAGAGGACAGGCAGAAAGAAAGTGAGCTACTGAGGTTGAATTCCAGTAGCTGGAAGTTGCTGAGCAGAGCTGACAGATGGGCACTGACATGGAGTAGAAGAGATAGAGGCGGCATCATAACTGCCGCAATACGAGAAGGGCAAACGGTAAGTTAGATGGCAGCACGGGAGAAAAAAAAAAGGAAAGAGAGATGTAATCATCGCGAGCCAAGAAGGAAATGAAGCTATGGGCGGGTTAAGGAGGTTTGTTGGCGTCGACGATTTAGACCGGACGGAAGAGGTGGGGGAAAGGTCTAAGGCGAAGTCTCTGGCTTTGTGGGAGTATTAATCGGGGGGATCAGTAACGAAATGAGGTGTTTGTGACACGCTAGAGAGCAAATCCGTAATAATGACTCATCTGAGAAATTCGATTTCGGTGGCCGTTAAGGTACTTAGGGTCATCTCTGTGTATTTTTTCGGTCTATGCGGTTCTCCATTTCTACTATTACTAGCAATACACCATAACGCCATCACTTTAACCAGATCGTATGGCTAGAGTAGTCGGTTCTACTGCAAAACAATAGTGGGACTCTAACACACAATCATAGTACCTATATGCGTTCTGCATCAGTTCACCTTTCAAGCAGCAAGATTGTTGTCCCTCTAGAACTGAAAAAGGTTGCCGGAAGTCAGGCGTTTTCTTATTACTATCAATAGCAGCAGTAACAGCATTAGCGTCATTAACATTATCCGCGCCATGCTTGTTCATTCGTTTGCACAACAATGATCTGGCACTATGCATTCGTTGCCGATACTATCTCGCCTCGTGTTGTTGTTGTCATGTCGACAAGAGTATTATAACAATTGACTCTGATTAGTTTCTGTTGTACCCTCTTCCTCTAAGCGCAGTCAATCTTAATCTTATACTGAGGCTAACTATAAGGAAAGGTACAGACGCAGTGTAATGCACACTCCGTTACCACTATATGGAATAGCAGAATTTCAGTTTAAAAGATACGGCAACACAAAAGAGACTATAAGCACTACGCACTGCTCACGATTAAGTTTAAGTTATATGCAAAGCTAAGGGGAACAGTTTCCGGCAAGCGCTCTCCATCTACTTCGGTAAACGCCCAATGCCTAGAGATAACGATAGAGAGATCGTTGTTGAGAACACACAAGTCAGATCATAATGCTTTGTTGATTGTTTTACAGCTCGACGTTATTACGAATACGACATAACATAGACATTTTTGCTATTCAATCGGTGGCAAGCTTCGATTCAGACTCGCCCTTTTGTTCCACCATTTTCCAATCCAAACCACGGTTTGTTGCCGGATTTTTCTGGAAGCGTT